AAAAACTCACCATTAATATCCATTGCAGCAACAGCAACAGCAACAACGACTACCGCATCCATTTCAACAGCCACGAGAACTCCAGCAGTGGCCGCTACGTCGGCGCTTTCATCCGCGAATTCCGTGGCCAGCTACTATGGCTTAGGCATACCCAAGTCGCCCTCATTTCACAGTGGACTTGATCAATTGGCCGAAAACAACGGCGACTTTTACGTCAATCGGCCACAATTGCCAAACGCCAACGGCCGCTGTGGCCACGACGACAACGACCTACATAGTGTTGTAGGCAGCACTAGCGGCGGCTCCATAGTACGACAACCAACTGCAGCAAATCGCGATATAAAATTCAAATTCACTAATATTGAGGAAATCAAAACGAAATTTCTGGTAGGAGGGGCGCAAGTTAGAGCCGCTCACCCAGTTGGTAACAACCATTGCATTATGCCCACAATGCCGCAGCAACAGCCAGCAGACAATGCGGCCACCGGATCAGCAACGCAGTCGTCGATAACAACAAAAAGCAGCAACACATCGTCGTCAGTGACAACTGCTCCTATCGCCACTGGCATTGTTTCCGCCGCTGTTGCCTCGATCTACAACTCCACCAACATATCTACATCTACATATACGTACAATTCCAATAAAGTAATGTCCGCCAACAATACATCTCCATATTCCTCATTGTTAGCATCATCCTCATCTACACCGGCAACGACATTGACATCGTCATCGGCATCTGCATGCATGTCGAAGCCGACTTCGTCTGGTACAAGCACGGCTGTGGCCGGTGGCCTGCCTGGTGGAGGCGTTGGCGTTGGCGTCAGCGTTGGTGCTGGTGTCGACTGTGCTGCTATCAATTCAATTAGTACTGTCATTGTCACCACATCGACGACGACAACGTCATCATCTCTGGTTGCGACACTGACACAACACTTCTCAGCTGCCACCTCGGCTACATCACTGCTTTCAACAGCTGCCACATCATCGCTAACCACTAACAATAAGGTTTGATTGACATTTTACATTTTTCTTCTTCATGTATGTAGCTGTTAGTGAACATCATATGTTGATATGTAAACCTCATTATTGCCTGCATACATATGTACATATTTATCTACAACTGCTCTACAATTCGTTATTAGAACTTCATTTATGTTTGTAAAATTTTCAAGCCAATTGATATTTCGAGCCCAAGGCATGCGAAATTAACGAATATGAATGCGCTGAAGATAAGGAAAGGGGCAAATGATGCTGCCCGAGTTATCGAGTGCATCCACATTTAAATTGGATTTTTTCTTTTTGTTTCTAACTTTAAAAGTCGAAGCAGTCTTAACTCTTGACCTTAAGCTAGAACTTCACATACGGCGCTCTCTTCGGCACATCAAGTTTTATACATAGTGCATACGGTAAGTGTCAGTGAAAATCGTACTGAAAAATTTTTAAATTTTTTGAAAATGCTCCGTTTTATTTAAATTTTATTTTAATTTTTGATAAAAAACATAGTTCACACTATAACAAAATTCATAAAAGCTTCTAACTTTGCAACAATTAAAAGAAAATCGTAAAATTTTCATCAAAGTTTCACATTTTTTATTCAGAATTATTTTGGTTGTGCAGTGTATAGCCCATTCAATTTTAGTATAATAAAGAGCAAGTTTGATATCGATTTGGATTTTTCTTTCAGTGTTGCGCATTTTCTTCCATAACACGAACGATCGCATGTTATTTGATATGGACATTTTTTTTTGTTGTATTGTAAACTATGTTTTTATTAAAAATTAATAAAATTTAAATAAAAAAAAAAATACGATTTTCACTTTCACTCACTGTATGTGTGTCAGCGTTAGCGACACAGCCTGCAAAGTAAAAAACAAACTACTTTCGATACACACATACATATGTATGTATGTACATTAGTGTGGGCCGAAAATCCGCTTTTATGGAATTTTGATTGGTAATAGCAAAAGTATGGTTAATTATGCTCAAAAACAATCTGTGTGAAAGATGACAATTTTTAAATACATTAATCAGTACATTTTTTTACTAAAATTGCAAGTATCTTCGAAAATATTAGTCCTACATAATTTGGTATATGGACGTTTTTTGTAGAGAATCGAGGTAAGTTAAGAAACAATTTTTAGCACCTGAACCTTGATGGACTTGGGCAAGCCTAAGATATTGACCAAAATCTGTCATCTTTTACACAGATTGTTTTAGAGCATAATGAACCATATTTTTGCTATAACCAACCAATTTTCGGCCCACGCTATTGCACATACATGTATACATTAATACAGAACATTAAAAATTAAAGCCAAATTCACAGAGGCCAAGATCTTATAATTAGTTCTCGTTGAAGCTTAGTAGATAGCTGTAGTGTACAATTTCATATTACAATTATTCACCAGATCCTTGTCTAATATCCGACCGTTGCGTACTTTTTATCAAATAAAAGGTCAGACTTACAGCTTTTTGAATTATTCGAGCATTGAATCTCCTACATATCGCGCACCCTCTTCAAAAGAGTGGCAACTCAATATATGTACATATTTATATTCACCGGAATTAATACAAAAACAGGTGTAACAGCGGTTTTCTTCTTTGAGAATATAATCATGAAGAAAAAAATATTTGCATTAATTAGAGATAAGTATTACGAATTGATTTATGGAAAAATTTCTTCATGAAATCCTTTTATAGAGCGGAAGAAGGCGGATGTAAGCCGACAGTTTTATAACACACGTGAATAGCCAAGATTCCAAAGTACCTAAAAGACCCACAAAAAAAGTGAGCGGAAAGTTTTTATTAAAAATAAATGTCTCAATAGACCAGATTTTATATGACTTTTGGCCGGTTTTGCCGTACAAATACTGCCGTTCGTGATTCGATTAAGCTAATAATAGTGTTCGCGCCTATTTGGCATCTCTTATGTACTTGTTTATTACAAACTACTGGCAACTCTGGCTTGCTTGATGTCAAAGCTAACTTCCTTTTTTTATCCTCTCTCTAATAAATGGATTTGACATAATCGAACGTGTTTGGTTTTTTATTATCGAAAGGAATCCGCTTTAAACGTTTATTAAAACCCGCGAACGCTATTAAGCGTTAACAAATAGTTTAACGATGAACTGTAAATCCGGCCTTATATGCTCGTTTCCATAAAGGGGTTAAGATTGTATTCGCTCAAAATCATGCATATAATTTGAAGTTCAAGGAAAAAAGAATTGCTGTTACATATATACATCTACATATATTTGATGCTTGTAAATTTCTATTCATTTTATAAAAATTCTATCACATAACAAAACCAACTCATCGCGATTTGGCGCCACATCCAATCCCTCCCTTGCTGATCACATCACTGCCGAAATTATTGTGTTTGTTTCTATCGCCATTTATCATATGATCATCCCACTTCATGCGCTTCTACAACACTCCACAATCGGTCGGTGGCCTTCCTTCAAGCAGTCGCCAGTGAGTGCGGCTGCCGCTATCAAAAATATTTTGAATGCTACAAAGAATGTTGGCAATTCTGCTGCGGCCGTAGCGACGAATAGTTTTAACGGCTGTCAAGGACAACCGACAAATGTGGCACAAAATATTGTCAGCGGTATCGGTTATTCGTTGGGTATTAGTAGTGCTACCAACAATAATACAGCCACATCCGGCGGAAATGGTACATCTTTAGCAACAAGACTAAACACTTCTATTGTGGCGCATTTTCAAAATGGCGGCGACGAGTCGAATAAGGGTTGCAGCGCTGGAGGCAACAATAGTACTAATGCTACTCGTAATGGCAATGGCCAAGCCAATGGCAGCAGCACCACCGCCGACGGACCGACTGGCAACGGAATTTTATCGCCGCAAACATTACAGCAAATCACCGGAAGTCCAGGGCGCGCACGTGATCGCAATCTTTTCCATTCACCATCTGCGACATCGGAGGTCGTACCATTGCCGCTACTGCGAGGTGCTTATTAACATTTGCTCCTTTTTATATGTCTCCTTATTTTTTTGTTAAAATGTTGTCAACACGATTCGCTTGATTTAATTGATCACCTACGCGCACTTTACTATCTACTTATTTTAATGTATACTTTCATTTGAGAAATATGTATGTATGTAGTATGTAAACTGACGTGTGAAAAATGTTGTCAAGTTCAGTTAGATATGTATGTAATTGTTTGCATTTTCATTTTCACTGCACCAACAATTGTAAGCAAATAAATTTATTTTCAATTTTCATATGCATTCGTACGTTTTATTTGGCATCGTAACCGATTTTATTATTATATTATTTTTATTTTACCATTTCTGATCCTTTTTAATGCATGCTAAGACATTGAACCGACTTTGCTTGATATCGAGTCGGAAGTGTTGAATTTTGTATTTTATACAACATAAAATCGAGCCCAAGCTGCCAAAGCGAAATTTTTTTTCAAAATTTTCCATTTGATGCAGAAATATTCCTAGAGCATTTAGATGCATTTCTGCATTAAAAATAAAATTTTGGATAAAAGGCGCTTATACTTTTTTGCCGGTTAGGGCACGAAATATTTGTTTTCTAACAAAGGTTTTTTCAAGGAAACAAAAGTTAAATTGCATTTTTATTTACTATACATAGTTTGTAAAAAACTAAGCTGATTTACTACTGCACTGGCGGCAAAAATAATAGAAACGCCTTATTTTGACTTGTTTAAGCTATATTCCTTTTTTTATTTAATGTTCACTACTTTTATTTTTCCAGCGGAAAGTCCACCGCAAAAAAAATAAAAGTCGTATGTCTAACTCATTTATAGGCCATTTGGCTGCTTTCTATAATATATACTGGTTATGTAACCGGCCGTCTTCACCTGCTTGAAAATCTCGTTTGCATTAGGCAGCATACTTTTTCATTTGTAAAAACAAGAAGGCTCGAGACTTGCAGGCGGTGTTGCCAAGTTTTGAATTTGAAAAAGCACTAAACCCAAGAAAAAGCACCAACTTTTTTATCGGAGGATTTTATGGACTTTGTATGCATACAAAATTTTATTGTAGGTGTGCCGATTCAAATTAATCAAAGGAAATGTTTCTTGCTCGGCGTTCGAGTCTTTTCTGTTTTCTATAAATTCTAATATTTTCGTGCGACGTAAACATTTTTATTCATATTTTCTATTTTGCTGCTGGGTCCAGCGTTGCCGTTTCGCTTAGATTTGCGCTGTTTGAATATTAATTTTTCTTTGCTTTGCTTAATTTTTTCTACAATTCCTATCAAATGAAAGTAACAACAAAAAATGAAGTTTCATGAAGTATTTATGTGGAAGTTGAAATCTACACTGTAGTCTCTTACGACCTCCTGGACTAAAGGAACGTAAAGAGCTTCGCGTTCCGACCGCTTCACATCTGAAACATAACAGAATTTTATTTCCCTTTTTCAAGTGTCTTATTTGAGCGCATCCACCGGCGCAGAGTGGAAAAAATCTTTTTGTGTAAAAAACACCTAGTCGATTATTCCTTTTAAAAAGGTCCCTTATTCATTTTACTGTTAGGAGATGCTGGTGCTTTTTTTATATGTATTCGTAAAGAATATAACAAATTTAGCACAAACTAAAGGTCTAAAGATCGATTCCTGGTCCCAGCAACATGGACGTTTTTGCAGGCAATGACAAGTTACCGTATGTAATTCTGGCATGATTGAAANTTTAAGAGACTTCCAATTTCTTTAAATTTAACTTCCATTTTTTCAGATTTACAGTTTTGGTGTCTTCAAACTAAAAAAAAAAAAGTACCAAAAAACTCACCAAGCACCAAACTCAAAATTTTCGCGTTCTGAGTTAAAAAAAAGGACTAAATTTAGTGCGAAAAGAACTAAGTTGCCTACAGTGCCTGCAGGCTCAATTTGTACTCTGAAGAATTCCGAGAAATGCGAAAATAGCTGTTAAAAGACAGTTGGAAGAAAGTGAGAGCGCGCAAACCGCTCAGTATGAAATCAAATGCAGCCTTCCACATAGCCCAAATTTGGCAACGCTGCCCAGCTTTCATTGTAGAAAGCACTGGCGTTACTCGCGCTGCTGTCAAAGCGGCGCCAACGCAGCGTTATATGTGATGGGCCTCTGCTGTCTATAAGTGCGGGGCCTCGCATGCTTCGGCACGCAAGCGAGCATTTCAACATTCAGAACATTTTTGCCAAAAATGGCAAGGAATGAAACCGATTCAAAATAACGTTCCGGTTAGGTTTCGGTTTTGCAAAGTGTTTCGGTTTTGGGTTTGGAATAAAAAAATTAAAACAAGTTTGACAGAAAAAAATTCATCGGCAGATACACAGCAACAACGTCATCACCGGATTCACTTAAACGTCTCCTTTTTGCTGTAAAATTGAAGATGTATGAAAAGTAAAATATAATTGTTATTTTCGTCAAATATTTACTAAATAATTATGAAACTTTATCCACCCATTCATTTCTGTGAGCTTTACAACTATACATCTCAAAATGAAAATCAAAATGACTTCTTCCAAATAACCGACGCCAGATCGGAAATTTAATTTTTTAGGCATTTTTTAGTAGCATTTTCCGAAACGTTACTTTGCCAAATTACTACTTAACAAGAATTTTAGCAAAATATTGCTGATTTTGGCTAAACAAATCATTGGCTTCGTTTATTTTCTTTTCTAGCAGATAATTATCAGGACGAAGACGAATGGGAGAATTACGCTCACAGAGAGCGAAATAAAGAAACGCAAAACTAGCAAGTAAACAGCTGATCGATGTATTTGACTATTGAAAATATTTGGCGCAAATTTTTGTTTATCCATTTTGACAGCTGCTAATTTCTGCTAAAAAATAAGAGCGTAAGAACGAGAGAGAGCTGTTAGTTTTTTTGGTTGAGAAACGCTTTCCAGCAGAAATTATTGATAGTTTGCGATAACTATCTGTTAAGAAACAATGCTATGGAAAGTGAAGTAAAACGATGTAAAATGTGTCACTTCAGTACTGTTACCGCCTTGTATAATAAATTCGCATTGAATTGCAGCACATTTATCAGTGTTGCCATAAGTTACGATACATACGAATTAAAAGTAAGGCTGTCCACATACTAGTCAACAAATTTGTCAGGCAAGGCAAAAAAAATTTTGGTTGCTAGATCCTGCAGCTGATTTTTATAAAATTCTGTAAACCGATTGAAGCCTGTGCTTGAAACGTTTTCACTTTCGTTCCTTTTTAGGTCAACATAGCGGTTCCGGTTCCGGTTGCGGTTTCGGGTTTGAAAAACGAAATGGTTTAAAACCTTTACGGTTTCTGTTTCAGTTTTATTCCTTGCAAAATGGTCTCGTTAGGTGGGGCCAGGGTCGGGATATTGTTTTGAAAAATCGTTGTAAGCTCTGATTTGTTTCACATTTATCATGTTTGGGTGAAACGCAGTAGGATATTGATCTGCGAAAAATGGAACCGCTGGTGGCACTGATGTCAATATAAAAAGTATATTCGACATAAAATGCATATTAACAACTTTTTCAATAGTAATTTTAGTAACGTAACGCGCTTGGAAAATTAACCTTAAACATAATATTACTATAACAAATTTTATAATAGTATTGCCCAATTCGCAGACTTTTGCAACTTTGTAATCCAAGTCAAAATTCACTTGAGTTTTTTGTAACGTTGGGCCAGCGCATATGTTTACTAATATCTTTAAATCGCTACTACCGACAGTTGTAATTTGTTCTAAATTCTGATTATTCATCAAAAAATTTGTATATAAATTTTGTAACTTTGATTTATATGAGTTTGGTTAAAGCTTGCACAAAGTTTTTATATAAAAACTGCATTGCCAGTTATTGTCGAAATTCAACCGTTTTTCTAGGTTTTTAAGACCACTGGATTAGCACTTCGTTCAGTTTATAAGGTACAAAATAACTTATCGGAAAATCTCCTGCTTTGGAAATAAAACATGAAAATTTTTTTTTTCTGTGAAGGTATTTAGAGGACTTTGGCAGGACTTGGAATTGACCCGATACATTACAGTCTGTCGATAAATTTCGATAATTTGATAGTATCGAAAATTCAAAGAATTTCAAAAACACTAAAATCTCATTACTCAACAAAATTCGGTAACTCGAATGTGCGTTCCGAGGGCTCGATAAATTTCTTAACAAAAAAAAAAAAAATTATATATCTCGATATAAATCGATGAACTTTGGATACCTCTATAAATCTCGATATCTCGGTTAATTTTGATAGCTACATATTTTTCGAAAGCTATAAACAGTAATAATTCTATAAACTTATCGATAACTCGATATATTTTGAAAAATCCAAACGCTTCTATTTGATAAGTCGACAAATTTCAGTAAATCAATAAATATCAATAACTCGATAATAAATATTGATCTCTATAAGTGATGACAATTCTATAAATATCGATAACCTGATAAATTTCATTAACTTGGCGAATTTCAATAGTCCCATTAGTTTTTATGGCCGGACAACCATACGTAAATTTCGACAACTACTTAAGTTTCTGTTTCTATAAAATGTGTTAACTCAATAAACATTGATAAATTTGAATGACTCGATACGTTGCGAAAACTTGATAAGAGTGGATAACTCAATAAATTTCGATAACTATAAACTTCGATTATCCGATAAATTTCGATAACTAAATTTTTATGACTGAATGTATGTCGATTTCTTTCGAAAAATTTCAATAAAATATCTTACCCTCTTATTAGTGGCGTTCAAAATAATAGCAGCGAAATTCAAAATGATACTGCTGGCAACTTATCTTTATTTATTTATTGTTAATAATTTTCATTTAAAATATGGGCCGATCTATATCAGATAGCACATAAATAAAAAGTTCAAAGCTTATACCAGTTTAAAAAAAATTATTCAAACTTAAAAAAAATTGTCATCAAAATTTCAAACGTTTTAATCAGAATCTTTAGAAAAGTAAGTTTTGTTCATGCGTTATATGGAAGAAAATTCGCAA